ATTTAGCAACTCCTAATGCATGACCTTCTGCAGTTTCCCACATTTTAATTTGATGTTTTAATTGCCACTGCTGACTTTCTCAACCAGAGAATGTGGCTGTGGTTCATTGCCTGAGCAGAGACAAGGAGCAGAACGAGGACCTTGGCAGAGTTGCTGCTGGACAGCAAAGGAGCAGCCGTACAGGACATTTCCCGCTTTGGGCCAGAATCACACCACTAGGGAGACGTGGTTTGAGAACATGTGTTTGAAACTGAGCTTTGTGATGGAAATGAGAAACCACAGGACATGTCTCCTCCAGAGAAAGCTGACAGCTGGCTGTTTGCATTTTAGGGCTTACCTCTAGCCCCCAACTCTTGGCTGAGCTTCACGCTCCAGACGTATCATCCTCTCCCACAAACCAAAACAGCCTTGTGCTAGAGCGGACGCGATGGGAAATGTCAGAGGAAACTCACTGCTTTGTGACTTAGACCACCCACTGCATGTCTTTGCTCTTCCTGAGAGAAAACGACTCAGTGTTAACAGCGCTCTGAAAGCAGAGGACAGAACTGCCAGCATCTCTGTAGAGGTGATGTGTCAGGGTAAACTGATCCTGAAGTCCGGATGACAGCTTGTTTCCCTCTTTCATCACAAGTGGCAAAAGCCCTGTTCAGTGTTTGAACCTGACTGGAAGGAGACCCGTGCTCCCTGCTGTCTGAGGCTTACCCTGCCCGCCTGCTGACACTGAATTCTCGCTCTTGCTCGGTAACTCTTCTCTCTCTGTCCGTTCCCTTTGCCTCTCCCAGGACGTGTCATTCCACCCACCGATGAAGATCGCCGGAGGATCATTAAGCAGATGAAGGTTCGCACCACCCTGAAAGGAGATAAGAGCTGGATCCACCACCATAACTCGGACTCTGAGGATGAGAAGAAGAGCAGCCCGCTGTAAGTGGGGCCACCCAGGAACATTCCTCTTCTCCCTTCCCTTTCCTCATCACCCTTCCACGAATACTCTGTTCTCTGGCCTGCAGAAGCAGCACGTGTGGTGCTAGCATGTTCTGGGGTCCCCATGATGCCAGGAAATGTCGCTGCCAGTGGGAAGCGCTGCTCCTGTTTATGTTTGATAAATGCAGGCTGGGGAGAAGCTCTGGGAAATGGCCTTCCCTGGGAGCTGGGAATCCGGCAGCACAGGCAGATTCGAAGTCTCGGGAGAACTCCCGGTTTTCTGAAGCCGGATTTTTTCAGCATCCCTGGAGTGACAAACGAAGGGGCAGACCTTGGTGGGAGGGAGCTGAAGTGATGAAAGAGCCAGGTCTGCATCTCCTCCTGCGGCTCACAGGGCTGTGTCCCACAGCCACCCCTGCACCAGGGAACGCCGCAATCCACACCTGCTTCTCTTCAGTTAGAAACAAAACCAAGCCTAAACTGGGCTTATCTTAGCCACTGTCTCCAAGAACAGCGCTGTCGCCTTCAGCAAGGCAGCCCGGCGAGATCAGAAGTTAATCGTGTCGTTGTGTTTTCTCTTTCCTCAGGTCTGGACGGGCTGGTGGGGGATCCCCAGCCTCAACACCTATTGCTCCCCAGAGTGACAGGTAATTCTGGGGACCCATCCTGTTGCTTCCCTTCTGTGCCATCTCGTGGGGTTGGTGCATGCTGTCATTGGTTCTTCACAAGTGCGTGCTCTTTCTTCACCTCCTCGTACCCGTGCGCTGCTGCGGTTGTGTTGAAAAGTGCTGTCCTCGAGGAGAGCCTGCAGAGTTCAGTGTAAAGTCTTACAAGCTATCACCTCGTAGAGAGCATGGCTTATCTCCTGCAAAGTCCAGATGAGTGGCTGGATGGATTGATGTCTTTATAGCAGGTGAACAAATGCCTTCAAGCCCATGATCCCACAAGATTACTGGTGCACATGCACATCAGCTCCTGTGCTGGTGCGACAGCTCTGTGCTCTAAGCCTGGGGGCTCCTCAGAACAAGTGAAGCCCTGTGCGAGAGCTGAATTTGCTTCTGGGCCAGAGCACAAGGGCTCTTCAGGAATCCAGGAGCTTGTGGGACAAGCGTCCTAAAATATAAAGCTGTTGGAAAGGGCTTAGTCACAGGTGGGAGCTCTTTACGAGCTGCAGTGCCATTGCTGGGAGAGGATTGGCTTCTCCCATGAGCAGTACTCTGCTTCCTCTCCCTTCTTCTGTGCCAGCTCTTGTCACTTCTTGTTGCAGTTAGACAGGATGGTTTCCTGCCATGCCCTACCTCTTTCTGCCTCCCTCTGCAGCATAGGGCTCTACAAGGTGCAGGATAAGTGAAAACAGGGACGTTTGTGACATTGGAAGTGTGGTATCTGAAGGGGCATCTTCACACAAATGTGTGAGGGCCTGAGGCTGATGAAAAGTGAGTGATGGGGAGCCCGGGACACTCAGGATCTGTTTATACTTCAAAGTGAGGATGGGCATTCCTTCATCAAGCTGGACAACTTCTCAGCTTCCCTGCAGCTCTCCTTCAAAGCTGAGTGCTCAGGGAACAGCTGGGCAATGGGGCTGAGATGAGCTACACCCTGCTGGTGCCTGCTCTGAGGACGCTGCAGAAACAAGAGCTTGGGGCTGTGTTTAGTGCTCATTGTCCTCCAGCTCATCCCATCTGGAGAGCTCCAGAGCTAGGCTAAGCCTGCAGTGATTTTGCATTTCTGTGTCTGTGAAGGCAACTGGATAAATTTGGGCTTGGCAGCCACCTCAGACACGTAGTGATGGGCCGTGTAAACCTGCCTTCCTGCGAAGCTCTGACCTGATGGCTGACCCTGCCTGGTTAGAGGATGTCATTTGATCATTTGATGGGAACCAGGTCCTTGAGGCCCACCCTGGTTCCCCACTTTGCTCTCAGGAAGACGTCCCCAAGACAGCTCGAAGCTGGTTCCAGGGATGTTCCCTCCTGCTCTGGGGCAAGGGGCTGGATCCCCACCTGATGGTAGCCCTTTCCTTTCCCTGCATGGGAGCTATGCCACGCTCCCTTCCTGAGAACAGACCCTCGGAGAAGTCAGTATGAAGATGAAGTTTTCCTGTGATAAAACAACCAGGATTTCTACTATATTTCATCCCCTCCCTCTGAGCCATCAACCTGTGGACTTAATTTTGAGCCAGAAAACACTGTCAGCGTGACTAATTTTAATTGGCTAACTCTAAAATTCAGTTTTCTTATAAAAATCTCTCGTGGAGCTCGTTCTGATGATTATTCATTTTTAAAGAATGCTTCCAAGGTTAATTTTGGTGCAGCAGCTGCGGTGTCACTCGAGATCTATTTAGCTAGATTTTTGGCTTGACAGCCACGTGGGTGTTTCCCTTTAATGCTGGGGCTGCTGCTGTTGTTTTTCCCCATGTTTCTGAATTCACTAATGTCTGTTCTTTGCACAGGTCTTCTGCCTCCAAGCCGCAATCCGGTTACCTCATCAGGTTGGTATAGAGTGGCATATATTTGGGCTGTAGGGGAAGGAGAACTAGATCAGGAGCAACAAGCATGAGAAATGTTATGATCTCTTGGGTTCTCCTGTTAGTCAGGAACATGACAATGCTCCGGGAGTGCCTTGGTGAAGGGATACTCCTGAGTGTTCTGTTTAACAGGTAGTTTGATGGTGATGTTAAGAGAAAATCAGATCTCTTCTGTCTAATACAGTGATCACACTTGGAAGGGTTATCGTGCTATGGAAGTGTCCCACCATGCTTGTGAGGAGCACAGCACCAGTGATAGGGCTGGTGTGCTTCAGCTTCCTCTGACACGTGGGCTGTTGCCAACGGAGACTCCGATGTCACCGTAATCCTAATGAGGTTGGCAAGCCCTGCGATACCGTACCCAAGCCTCTGCGCGAGCTGGTTTTACCTCATGGGGCCAGGGAGTAGGAAGACTCTTCTCAGGATGACTCTCCCAAGGAAGCACCTCCTAATTCTCGGTGTCCTCAGCCAGCACCTTCCTCCTGACAGGGCACCCGGACACTGTTAGGCTAAAGAGTGGCTGCAAGTCTCTTAATTTTAGTTTCAGACTCTATCCTGAAAAAAATTTAACCTGTCTGTCTTCTCCCTAGAGGGGTGTTCACAAGAACCATCGATAAGACCTCTTCCGTGGCAGATTCTTCACCTTCTAATCAAGCACAAAAAAGGTATGTGGGTGTCTTCCTCGTCTTCGTGAAAATGACCTTTTAAATATCGTATATATTTCTGGTCATCCTTCTACTTTGGCCAGTGCTTGTGGGCTTCCACTGAGCTCTGCTGAATCCCTGCTGCTGGAAGATGTGGCTGTTCCTCTCAGAGCTGCACTCAGCAGACCTGGGAAACGGACAAGGCATCAAACTCCCTGTTTTCCTCGCCGGAGCATGGGAGGGCAGTTGGCTGCGAAAGCACTCACGGATTTGTGTTTAATTTGGCAAATAGTTTTGAGTGGGGGACAAATCACAAGGAATCCTTGCAAAGCTGTAACACTTCATTTTGATGTTTTTAATGTGGGTTTGGTTGTGGTTTGGGTTTTATTTGCAACCCATCTTGAGAGGCACATTTAATTCTAGTAAGGAAGATGTAAGCATGGTTCAGATCTCAGCAGATCCTTTGTTGCACTTCAAGTGAAACCTTTTGAAACCCCACTTTTCCCCCTGTTTTGATTCATCTGGGGAGAAGGGTGATGCCACAAGTTGTCATCTTCCTTCTCGCTGGCTGATCCTGGGGCAGAGTAGCACCATCCCGCAGAGGGGTCTGCCCATCCCGGCTCTGACAGCTCACAGTGGGCCTGGGGAAGCAAAGCAGACCTCAAATCCTAGTACAAGGCTGTGAAAAGAAGGCAAGCGCTGCCCTGCAATTAAATAGCATTCCCTGAATTCGGAGAGTGGGTCTTTGGGATCACCCTGTTTTCTCCCATCACGTGGAGCATGAGCTCACCTGGGGAGGACGTGGTGAAGGGTGAGAGCTCGGGAGGGTCATGCTAACTGATGTGATTTGTGCTGTCCGCAGCACTGCCGCGAAGGGACGCAGCCTGGGCCGTTCCTCTTCTGGCTACAGAATGACCACGGAGGATTACAAGAAACTGTGAGTGTAGAAAAGGGATCCAGCGCTTGCTGTCTGTGCACAGGCTCAGCAGCACCTGAGCCTCGGTGATGGAGCCACCCGCACGTGGATGCTTCATCAGCCGAGCACTGCAGAGCTTTCTCTAGAAGCTGAAGTGGTTTCCGGTGCTACCTCCAGGCCTGTGTGGGCCATAAGGCATTGCTTGAACTGCTAATGGCCATTGTATGGAGAAAATTTTATCACTTGGTAGTAATTAAGGCAGAAACTGGAGGATGCAGCCGGGGGACTTGGTTTGCAGCATTGCCAGCCTTTCTGAAACCAGGAGAAAGGAGTGGCCTCGTGGCAGAACAGCGCTGCTGACATTC